ACTAAGCAGTCGATTGAACGTAGATCGCAAAATGCGAAAATGAGATTTAAAACTATTATACTCGCTCTCGTCATTAATATGTCTGTCCAATAAGCCATTGTTTTTGGCAGAAGTAAACGAGGCGTACGATTAATCCTTGACATCGAATCAGGCAAATTGCCAATTTTTACTGCAGAAAAAGGGTTTACAATGACATTTATCTGCACAAAAGCTGATGCCCCTACTTTGTACGACTTCCAAATTTGATCAAGCTATTGAGAGCCCTTAATTATCGGCGGCATGTGTAACAAACAACATATGTGTTAATAATAAGGACGCAAGGAAGTGTGCCCTCTCCTCAACAGAAGACAAAAATATGTCTCTTCGGCCATATAACAACAAGGACAAAATATGTCCTCCCCATAAAGACATTTTTATTAGCCCTTTTATAAAATGCGCACTAGCAAGAGATACTCCAAGCTTTGGATATCATGTGCCTTCCTATTCCCTCTCAATAAACTACACTCTCGGAGGGCATTATAGGGTATTAGAGAATTTGAATAAATCATTACAGTCCTCTCTTTGCCCACCCTCAAACATACGGCAATATCCCACTCAGCGGGATGACAGAACTGGTGAAGAAAAGGATGAAGCCTTTTACCTCGCGGTCGAGGAAGGACAAAACCTTTTACCTCGTCAACCGAGGAAAAGAAGAAATCGATGCCGCGGTTTCCTTACTCAGTTGAACTTACTCACTGAGAAGAAGAAAAAGGACTCTGGCTTGGTAGAGGCAGGTTAACCATATGCATGCCAAGAAAAATATGGTTTATGAAAACGTGGCGGGAAGTTTCCCGGGCGGCGGAGTTGGTATTGTTTTATTTATCAATACAAGAATTGGTCGATCCAACTCCGCGATCGCGAAAACAATTAAGGAGAAAAAGAATTCCACGCTGTAGCAACGCGTGGATAGTACAGGCGTGGGACAACTTTGGTGTTTATCTTGTTCTTTTCGTTATTTTCTTTTACATACTGTTCCAGTAGATCATTCTTATTCATGTATTTCTTTCCAATATTGATTGGCACTTCAAACTTAATCACATACTGTCAATAAAGATATCAATCTATGGTATTTAATCCATTAGTCGCAAATTTCGAATGAATAGCCCCATCGTTTAAAGTGCGCTTAAGATGAACGGGAGCAATAATAGTATACGACACTTGATGATTTACTCCTATTCGGGTTTGCCAGCTCACGCTTAGCCTATTAGTTTGCCTTCGCGTACAACAAATGTTTGTTGTTAAACAGCTAAGGTCGCTCATCTCCCCAAGCAAACAAATTGTATATGCGAAAAAGGAAATTGGTGAAAGGGGAGATGATATTTAATGAAGGGACCAAATTGACAGCACTCACTTCTCTAAAAAACCTTCGTTTTTATTGATTACATATTAATATACATCAACTTTCAAAAGCGGAAACAAACTGTTGAGAGGTCTTTCCCACTTTCCGACCTTTATTTAATTATAAGTAGGAGAAGCTACGCTCCGCTCGAAAGTAGCTAAATCTCTACGAGTCACGTATTACACACTCTCCAGCTTTTCAGTTACCTGATCGCACTCCAGAGATGGTAAAAGCTAGTTGGGAGGAAATACAAGAAGAAAAAGAACGTATCCAAGCAGAAAAGGAACGTATCCGGGCTCGAATGTCAGTAGCGCGTCTGATAAACTGACGTTACTATCGCTACTATTACAAAAGAGAACCTTTGTTCTCTATATTAATATTCTCTCGACACCGAACTCGCCTTCCTCGCCTTTTCACCGCCGGACACCGTGCGATCAATTACCTATCGGCTATCAGTCCAGGCACCTTCTCCCAAGCCGTTCACACTCGCTCTCTCAATAGAGGGTTAACAAAGCCGCATACCTCGATCCAATAACGAATGGATCCCGGCGGGATAAAGATCCACATGTGGTAGGAGAACAGGTGTATCGATGAGGATCACTAGAAATAAATAACGTACCTGCAAATTGACGCTGGCGCGACCTGAATAGAGAGATGGGCTGAATAAAGATCCACACGTGGTAGGAGAACAGGTGTATTAATGGGGATCACTGCGTTGCAAATTGACGCTGGCGCGACCTGAATAAAGAGATGGGGAGGTGTGATCTGAATGGAGATCCACACGTGGGAGGAGAGCAGGCGTATTAAACGAGGAGTAAGCAGACACTATAGTTAGTTCAGTATTATTCTCATAGACTCCCACAACGCTGCTGTATCAACACCCGACGGTCCCGGACAATACTCGCACCTCGCTGAAATCTTTGTTGGAGAAAGTCCTCAGACTCCCCTCGAAACAACCAAACTATAGAGAAGAAATAAACAAATACAGATTCGAAGCGCAGTATAGCGATTGTTCTTTTTCTCTACTGTGAGGGAGTTGCCTTCATTTGTAATCTTCAAATAATAATAAAGTCATTTTGCATTGATAAAATACACACTCACCCAATATGTTAGAATGATTGTACGTACTGTGGTTATTAAAAAGCTAAGGGATCACAACCTTCCAAAGAGCAGATTTTCACATTATTGTTATTGTTTGGTCAATGCCTCTAAAGTCTCGTGCGGGCTCAATAAATAAGTCACCATCGCCAGTAAAGACCCTGTGCCTAATCCCGGTTGAAAGATGCACAAAGCATTGTTGATTATATTATGTACCGCAAATTGGAAAGTCGGTTCCTTCATATATTTGTGGTGGCCAGATAGTGTGTTTCAATCATCTTCCATAAACAGGCAACTGCATAGTTCAGACTATACTTCGCAGTCTCTTAATCGCATTTGGGTAGCTTCTACATGTTATAGAATAAAACAATCGTTACTATCAGAAATGACATTTGAGTTGACCAGATGTGTCAGGTGTAGTATCGTTATGTGAAGTTTTCTGTATCTTAGTTGTAAATGTTTCTAATATGGTCGGCATTGGACTTGGAGTTACACACCTAATTCCGTATCCCACAGTTATCTTCTCGTTCCAATTCAGCTAAACCCCTCTTTTCGATTCCACAATACGGTGCTGTTCGAATATATTTTTCGGTTTTGTATCTGGTTCGCTCTCGTCAGCCTGAATGAGGGTGACCAATTTTGCAGCTTAGTGGTAGCATTTTAAGGAATAAAGCTTTTTTGTTTATCGAGCACTTACCATCTTGCTTTCCCGTTGACGCCCATGGATTATTCTCGAGGCCAGACGGTAGTGCGCTAATCGGATGCGGTCGTTACTCGTTGTTAGGAAGCTTTGCCATTAGAGTGCGACATACTTGATTCTTCTATTTTATGATCTCTAATCTCCATTCCAATCGCCTATATCCAATTACAATTGTCATGATGAGTAGATTCACATGCAATGAAATAGACTGATTCAACCCTTACCAGAAAAAGAGCACTGCCTGCTAATTACATTCTCAAGTTACGCTTCCACCCCCCAAGACGTCTAGCTTTGTATCTGGAATAAATTACTTGCAGTTTCCTAGAGTATCCATCGTTCACTTCCCTTCTGGCTGTTCCGATGTTATAAGAACCGAATAGCATAACCGTTCCTCTACGGTATCACTAACGCTGATCGCAAGCAAAGCCTGATAAAAGAAAGCTTAACTGAGTGCGCAATAAGAGGATCATATCCCATGTTGCAAGGACAGAGAGGAAAGGACGATATCAATTCATACAGTTCATTACATACTGCGTGATCGATGATCGGGTAAAGTATCTTACCCATCTATATATACAGTGTTGTTCGAATGTCTTTCGGTCTTGTATCTGGTTCCTCTCCGTCAGCCTGAACGATGGAGACAAATTTTACAGCTTAGTGGTAGCGTGTTAAGTAATATACAGCCTTTTTGTTCATCGAATACTTACCATCTTGCTTTCTTGTTGCATCCCAGGATTATTCTCGGCACCAGAAGCTAATCGAATACGGTTGTCATTGGAGAGCTTTTACCATTAGAGGGTCGGCATACAATAGTATGATCTCTAATCTCCATCTCCAATCGCCTATTTCAAGCAATAATAACGCTCAGAATCTAATAGATTCATTCACAGAAGAAGCGCACTGCCTACTAATTGACATTCTGAGGTTATGCCTCCGCCTCATATACGTCTGGTTATGATAACTGTGTCTTAAATAACTTACTTGCAGCAGTTTCCTAGCGTATCCTATCCCATCATCTGAGTCTTTCCTCGATGATTCGTAACGCTAGATCTCCACGATTGTTGCAATACGAGTCCTCCCTTGCAAGATTTTTTATGATTTGTATCGCTAGATATTAGTATCACACCCATGTTTGTTTTCTTCTAGATGTTCTGATAGAAAACAAGAACTCTTACTATGATGCAGTCTGTTGCTACAAGCGAGCGTGTTTTTACTGAAAATCAGTTTGACAAACCGTTTCTATGAATTCATCTTGAAGAATTTATGCTTCTGAAACGTGTTAACTGCTTTCTTTAACGTGGAATGTAAAGCAAAGCCTGATAAAAGCCTAATGATGGATAATACAATGTTCTAATAAGGATTGGATGATTGCCTGATTCTAAAACCACAACCTCTGTGCTTTAACGGTATAGAACACAGAATTACCAAGCATTTCGCAATCTCACCGAGCAACATATTTTTACCTGTCTACCATAAACTTGATGTATGCATTTTTCATTATTTTGAAAGTATGTAGCATTATCCGTCCCATCTTTTATGTCCATCGTGGGAATAAAACGTTTCAGCCAATGTTGGTTGAAATCGTTACGTTGCGAGAGTATTAGTATTAGACACCATTATTCCCATACACACTTAAATTTTCGGGTAATCATAATGACATCGAACTGTTTATTTACGATACTGATATGTTACATGATACTTTATTTACAATATTGAAATGATATTTACAAAATAAAAACCTATCACTATAACTATAACTATGTGCGTATATATATCAGTGTTCTAACGTGTAGAACACTGCACCATTGTCCGCAGCCACCACCACCATTGTCCGTAGCCATAGCCAACGTTGTCCCTAACCCCATCATTGCCCACCCCCAAGAAGAGACCATAAATATCCTTTTTTTTCTCTGACATGTATTTTCATGTCAGAAAGGCTGAGAAAGAGGGGGGGGGGGGGACCAGCACCTAACAGCACTAGTAGACCTTGTTGTCTACTCTGGATAGCTTCCCCATATCGATTATCTCTCGAAGATGAATCGAAAGGGGGGGGGACCAGCGCCTAACAGCACTAGTAGACCTTGTTGTCTACTCTGGTAGTCATAGCTTCCCATATCGATTATCTCTCGAAGATGAATCGAAGGGAAGCATATGCTTTCCGTCTTCCGGCGGGGCGAGGAGGAACGGTATCTTCTCCGCTTTCCCTCTCTCCATCCGTTCCGTCTCCTCCATCGTTCTTACAGGTATGGGGGGACTTATCAGCTTTTGCAGTCCCCCTTCGGTATTGTCGGTGGTTTCGCCGCTGCCGCCGCCGTAACGTTTTTTATCCTTCTTTTGCCGTTCCGTCGTTTTTCCCGGCTGACGAAGGTTGAGAGGAAACAATAATAATAACTTTGGGTATTTTTGGGTAGTATTCATGGACTTGGTATTGGAGTGGTCTCAAAGAACAAGAGTTCTAAAAGAACTGATTGCGCCAGATTATCGTATTAATATTATTATGATAACGGAGAGCACTATTACACCAAATTTAGTACTATCTGCATGAATGCGTGATACATACCAGGGGGTCCGATATTTTCAATTTCTACTTTTCTGATAAGAGGGTACGGGTACTGATTAGATCGATAAGTTTGTATCACGTGATTTGAATGTGCACATGGTTCAATCAATTACGGAACTTTACTGGTGGCGAGATCGTACGACAATAAAAACAAAATTTGGGGTCCTAAATTCAAACTAGAAAATTGCCCCCCCCCCCCAATTTTTAATACATGTTAGTAGAATCATATTATCAACCCCGTCCTTTATAAAAGTCCTAACTTTAATATCAACATAATTAGATTTTATTCTTAATAGTAATAAGTGTACCTCAATCAATATAAATTGTCAAATTAAACTTCTGCAGTTATAACAGTTATAACACGTCTCTGCATAATACAATTGAGACCGAAGAAGGTAATGAAGATAAATGTCATCGGTTTCAAATAAAACGGCATTAGATCAAATGCCCTATATTGTGGAATAAAGATTTAAAACATCGAATAAAAAAAAGCATATCGATTCTCTAAGACAAGCTATTTTGCAGATAGTAATAGCTGTAAACACGTGATTCTAGATAAGTCGCCATCGCGCTGTACAAAAACTTTTTCTATTTCGCTTATCATTAAGCGTGATTTTTTTCTTGACTTTCGATTCGATTTGAAACGCCGGATATTTTTTACGCGAATCTAAATACAAAAACTGTCAAAGGCTTAGTCTTTTTATTTGATGGTCTGGACATAAGTCACAAAAATATTTGGGTGAGACAATACAATAATTGTCAAAAGACAGTATTCAATGTCGCCAATTGCTTACTTTCATGAGAATAATGAGAAACTTTCTCTGGCTTTTGCTTTTAAAAGCATTGACTAACAGCAATAATAGTAACCTGCCTCAAATAAATTTTGCAAATCAAATTGGAACCGCATTCGCAACACCGATGATATTTTTATCAGGAATACCCATACGTCAATGTACTGACATGCATGGGAGAATTTGTTGGGTTTGTTTTTAGTTGGAATTGAGTTAGCGTCATTGAAACGAAGTACGATAAAATGAACAATGGAGCTCATAAATAATATATTTATTGTTTAGTTGCTATTGCTATGTAAAATTAATAATACATAAAATATATAAAAATTAGAGGCTATATAAATTTGCAATACTATCTTTGGTTGCTTATTTTATATGTATATATATATTACTGCTAGTACTATTCGCGTTACTTAATAGTGCAAAAAGACAACGTCATCTACAATATGTACGTATTAGTATTAGTAATTGCGAGATACTAAATTTCGGAACGTTATTATCATAAATGCTATCGAACCAAGATGGATGAAGAATCCGTACAAACGTCCGTGGGTGAAGGTACAGAAAAGAATGGCAATTTTTTGTTTCCCTTGGCTGACAAATTTTTATTTGCCAACTTTTCAATTTTCTTAATCTCTGCTTCAGCAGATCAGCATTTTGTACAGCTCGCGCATCCTGTTGCATATTTTCGATAAAATACAAAACGAAACTTGTGCTAAAATTTAACGTATTTAGCAGTGCAATTATTACAACTTTTGAGATAAGTGCATGTATGTGCAATGGCTTCTTCAAAAGAAGAAGCACAATGTCCGACTTTATTACAGTTGTGGAACAACGGCATTTGGAAATTCATACCCGATCGACACTAATTTTACAAAAAGCATTGATTTAATAATATCAGCATTTCGAAAATCCGCAACGGCGCTACACTGCATTAGGAAACAAAATGTTGCGTTTTTTCCGCGACAGCACAAA